TGTGATTTGATGTGTGTGAGCTTCTCCAATGAATTACCTTGTTTTCTTGTGGCTAACTTTATTTTTTGCTGCAGTTGTTGTTGTTTCCTCTCAGTCAGCAGATTCACAATGAGCTTTGAGAACCTCCAGGGAGCCTTTACAGGGTTCCAGATGGTCATCAGCAAAATGAAGAATAATTCAGTGGCATCACGTTAAATTTAGGATGATTTTTTTAGTACAAATCCACATATTGGGAGCTTCAGCCCACATATTATAACACCAAAAACATTAGCTGCAGTTGGTAATATCTGGAAGGAAGTGGCGTGTGGTCAGATCAGTGTGGTTTCACTTTTTACAGAAGTGTAACAGGACACGGCTTTATGTTGAGGAGCTGCTCTGAGCCTTTTCTCAGACTAGTCTTGAGTGAATTTCACGTCACCTGCACCGAAAGTGCAACAGGTGACACAGCTGCCTGTTGATACCTGTGTTTACATGAGTTCAACCAAAAAAAAAAGAGAAATATTGACATGACCTATTGGAGTGATTGCTGTGAGGCTGTGTTCACGTTTTGAAAATAACAGCACAACATAAAGGATCATGTAGTTAAGGTTGAGATTTAAACCTTTACTTCAGCAAGACTATGTATTATTATCAGTAAAAAAAAAAAACAGCAACATGTGTTTCAAACGCCCCATTCAGAGTGTTTCACATATTATACTGCTGGGTTGTGTAGTCAGAAGTTTAATGTCTAATTTGATCTGCTTTATGTGTTCTTGGGGGCTTTAAGATAATGTTTTTCAATGTAAAATCTGAAAACTGTAGTAAAATGTAGCTTAGATATGCCTCTGGTGGGTTCACGGATAAACAGGAAGATGATGACTGTGCTCATTATTCTAGGGGCCTCCTGGGGCCCTGGAGGCTTTCTGAAGGAGCCCTTGAGCCGACAACATGTTTTCTCTTCAGCACCAAGGACAGCACAAGGTCCAGCAACACTAAACACACGTATTTACCCTGATAGTGAACATTATTCAAGTTGTTACACCAAGTTTTCTTGTGTGTCTGTTTCTGATTGGCTCTCTGCGCTACACAACTGCTGAACTCCGTCCAATCAGGCCAGCTAGCAGCATGTGAACTGGACTCAGCAGGTTTCCCCTTTTTAATTAGATGAGTTGCTGCTGTCAGCCAATCAGGGTCCGGATGTGCGGGGACCGTTGCCCTCACCTTCACTCTAACTCACAGAGCAGATGTGCTGACGGCCAGATGTGCGTCTCATGCAGCCTACCTGCTCTGCGCCCTGGAAGCAGATCCTGCAGCTCGGAGTGGGGATGCAGGTTTCGCTGCTGCAGTTTGAATGCATCGCCTGCGCCTTGCCAGAGCTGCCCCCGACCGCCCCATCCTCTCCGGAGAAATCCCCCCCGTTGTTCTCCGCGGCGCCCCCACACGCGTCCCCGCAGCCCCGGCCCTCCTCTCCCTGCTCTCCCCGCGGCGCCTCGTCCTCATCGCCGGGGTGCAGACGTCCTTGGGAGCCGTGCGGTTCTCCTTCCTCCCAGGTGTGGCGGTGGGTGACGGCAGTGCCTCCCCTCGCCTCCCCGCAGGCTGCTCCCGCCTCTCCCTCCTCTGCGCTCATAATAAAATGAAAAGTCGAAATAAAATTGCATAGATGCCCCCCGAGCAGCTCACACGGTGTCCGCCGCCGCTGACGCAGGGATGCGCTGCAGCCTCCCAGATCACGGCGCCGTCGCGGAACCGAGCCGTGCTCCTGTTGCCGAACCCGCAGCGTGGCAGCCTGGCAGAGCTGCGATCAGCGGCCGCAAGCCTCCCGGTGCTGCGGACCGTCGCTGGGCTGGAACCGCCTCGTGCGCTCCGGAGACCCGGGGAGCATTTCCGAGCAGCATCCACGCATCGCGCCGGGAATCCCCCTCTTCCTCTTCCCTTCCTCCTCCTCCTCCTCCGCCGAGGAAGCTGACGGCAGCACAGCAGCGGATCTCTGCACCGGGACGAACCTCAGCTCCCTGCTGACGGACTCTCCAGCTGCAGGTTCTGTTCCGTCAGGAAGCGGAGGAGCCCGTTTCCCCGGAGAGAGCACCGATCAATCACATATTATCCCATTAATATGATGGAGGAGATCAGCTCCAGACCGGAGCTGCAGCTCGGTCCGCCCGCCTCAACACAGAATCTTTAATGTGGTGAGATGTGGCGACCCGCAGCAGCCTCCGTGTTAAAGGGTCACCTGCTGGCTTACAGATGCTTGATGAGGAGGGGCGGCGGCCTCAGCCTCTCAGTGTTACACAGAAACACATCAATGATGGAGCTGGAGTCTGAGCTTCTGTCAAGGAGGCTGAGTGTTGGACATAAATGGGGATTTTTGAGATTCTAGATCTAAACGTTTCTGGAAACTTGACCTAAACATGATGCATCCAATACAAAGTCAGCACAGTCATCAATAAATCCGGTTTGTGGGGATCATTAGGACCCTGATGGGGGTCAAAACATCTCTTTTAAGGGCTGATTCCAAACTATTTATTTGATGGAATAAGAGGAGTTCTGGAGGTACCTGGTGTTCAGGGTCCTTGAAGTAATCACATGAATGGTAAATCTTAAACCTAAAAGTAAACGAACAAACTCAGGCTTTAAAGTGAGCGGCTGAAGGTGGCTGATGGTGAATATGAAGAGGGGTTTCTGAGATTGTAGATCTAAAAGTGTCTGGACATTTTACATAAACACAATAAATCAAATAAAAAGTGAGTACGTTTGGTTCCTGAGGACCCTGATGGGATCTCAGCCACAGATCATGTATTTGTTGGATAAGACAGTTTCTTTAGAGGTTCTGGGGGTATCTGGTGTTAAGATATTTTAGGGTCCTTAAAGTGATCACATGGATGGTAAATGTTAACAAAAAAAAAACAATCTTTCGAGTCTCTAAACGATGAAGCTTTTGAGCGCCTGAAGGTGGTTGACGGTGAATTTAAAGGGTTTGTATATGAATCTATAACATAAAACACTTATTAATTATACTTCAACATGATGAATCAAATACAAAATAAGCCTTTCCATTATTAAGTCTGGTTTAGGTCACAGCATTTCTACAGGAAGCTCTAGGTCTTGATATCTGGCATTCATTTACTGTAAAGTTTACTTCATTTAAGTTTTGCTCATTTCTGTTTAATTGACCTTAAACTGTGTCATTTTTATTTCCAGATCACTGTAGAACTTAAAAACCTGAGAATATGACTCATCTAGTTTTACACTTTCACACTTCATAAGACTATTTGGGACAAAAAAAAAACAACCCCAAAACTTACATTTTAAGGCAGCAGGAGAACTTGTGCTTTAAAGATGAATGAACTTAAAATGATTTACAGTTTGTAAACACTAATGGGGGCCACAACGTTTCTTTAACATAATGATGAACCCAAGTTTTTAAGTTAATAACTGTTTGAAATGTTAAGTTGCCTCAATCTGATGTTCTTCAGCAGTTTACAGATTATCCATGTTCATGTGGCTTTTAAGAAATTATTCATTATTCTCATTTAACAATAAAATTACGTTTTCCATCATTTCTGAGCCTCAGAACTTCATCAGTACAGCAGATAGACACATGATATTTTAGGAGGAAAAACACATTTGAGTTCTGGTAAAAACTGCAACCAGATCAGTTTTACATCCATCCAGGAATCACAGTCTGAACACTGAACCTGGTTTCTGTTCATTTTCTCTATAACCAACTTTGAGCGACGATGACACATGATAACATCAGAGTTTCATGGCATAAAGAGACAAAACTATGACAAAGATACGTAAAATGACCAAACAAGACAAAGAAAAACGAGATCCAAAATGATAAACGAATAACAAAATGGCCACAAACAGACAAAACTATGACAAAGACACGTAAAACAATTAAAATGTCACACTGAAGGACAAAAACATGACACAAAATTACACAAAATAAGAAAAACATGATTGAAAATGCCTAAATCTGGACACAACGCAAAAAATAGACACACAAAACATAAAAAGAGACATAATGTAGCAAAGCAAGAAAAGTAAGACACAAAATCCATCCATCCATCCATTATCTATACACCGCTTAATCCTCACTAGGGTCACGGGGGGCTGGAGTCTATCCCAGCTGACTTAGGGTGAAGGCAGGGGACACCTGGACAGGTCACCAGTCTATCACAGGGCTACACTTAGAGACAGACAACCAAGCACACTCACATTCACACCTACGGACAATTTAGAATCACCAATTAACCTCAACATGTTTTTGGACTGTGTGGGAGGAAGCCGGAGAACCCGGAGAGAACCCACGCTGCACGGGGAGAACATGCAAACTCCACGCAGAAAGATCGTGAACTGGCGACCTTCTTGCTATGAGGCAACAGCACTGACCACTGGGTCACCTTGCAGCCCCAAGATACAAAATGACAAAAACAATCAAATTATCACAACAAGAAAAAAACTATCGCAAAGACACACTGGCGTAAAATGATAGAAGGGAGACAAGTAATGACAACGATGAGCAGAAAACAGACAGAAAACAAGAAAAACAAGACATAAATTAACCGACCAGATCAGTTTTACATCCATCCAGGTGTCACAGTCTAAACAATAAATCTGGATTTGGTTCATTTTCTCTATTTCTTAATAAAGTACCATAGCATCAGTTTAATGTCTATGACATAGAGTTATAGAAACAATCATTGGTACCCTGGATGTGTTTCTGTTTTCTAATATTTCACCAGAGAAAACTTTAAAAAGTGCATTCTGGGTAAACTTTCAAGGCTCATATCAGCATGTGTGATGGTGGTTGGTCAGAACAAGTTATAGACAATGAAAGGATCATTTTACCTCCAGAAGACATCAGGATCGTCTTCTACACTCGATCCACTCTGTCTCTAATATAATCATATGTTAAAACAGCTACAGTACATTTAAAATATCAGCTTATTCAGAGCAGGTTAACTTCTTCCAGAGTTTTGCAGAAGTCTTTAATTGTTTATTGCTGAATTTGTATAACCAAAGGTAAAAAATCTAATTCTAGTCAGCCAATAACGACACGAAAAAGCAGCAAGCAGCAGATGTTACAACCTGAAAAACTAAGCAAATACTTGTCATTTTTTTAGATATCAAAGAAAAAAATCAGGAAAAAAAAAATCGCTAAACTGTACAACTGAGTACAAAGTGAACGAGTGATGAAATGTTCCCATATGGGCCGTGATAGTCGAACATAATGACAAACTGTAACGTGTTCCTCAAAGCAAGCAGATGTTGCAGAAGTTGAAGCAGCAGTTTTATGTTTTATTCCAAGAGTCCCGCCGTTTAAAGAAATCATTCCTGGACTGAAACAGTTTGAATCAAAGAGATGTTTAAAATGAGCAGCATACATTTTGATCAGCTTGTACATACAGGTGAAGAAGGAAGCCAGCAGAGTCTGCAGCCTGCATTATAACCTCCATCATTAGTTTCACCTCAGAGCACAGCGGCTTTAAAAGCTTTCTCGTACAAATAGAACAAATTTAATATAAACTTTTTCAAATACATCCTGGCTGCCTCCTTTCACAACATTTTTAAAACACCAGATGTCCAGGAAAACATAAAAACAATAGAAATAAAGAAGAAAAGCTCCCCATATTAGTGTGTGATCATATAAATCATTCCAATTTAGTCGCAAGGTG